CAGCGAGGTTCAAGGCTGAACAGCTCTTCGCTTATGTACAGTACGTAGTGTACATGATCAGATCTCTCTGTCAGGGTAACCCGATCCAGTTGAGTCTCTAGCCTTGCAGCCCAAAGGCCGCACACAACAAATACTGCTAGCGACCTAAGAATCTCTCTTCTTACTGTCGGGAGACCATTGAATTCTACCTCGTACTGTGCGCAGACACTTGCACCAACAAGTACAAATACATTACATGGGCTTCTGCCAGTTGACGAGCTGTGTTACAGTACATGCCTCGACCGGTATCCTCGCATCCCGGGTACCCGAGGAAACAAATGAGTTGGTGACACAGGCGACGGTGAAAGCGTAGTACGAGGGATTGGCAAGATGAGAAGATTTCCGATGATTGTGAAACACTGAAAAAACGTGGTGAGTGCGTGGTGCTGTTGAGCGGCCCCTGAAATGATGCACATGGGTATAACCACGAGCAGGGACCCCCCAGGCTCTACAAATCATACGAGAACTTGTACAACAAAGGTACTAATAGGGGGGTTGGGGGCGTGCTAGAGCCCAGAAGAGCGCCATAAGGAGCCCCAGAAGGGTAGATCCTGCCCTTATTCAATCTGCTGGCGCATGGCCGGCCCCTGTTAGGCCTATCGTTCTAAGTCTCCTCTAGTGCCCTTCTAGACCATATTGGGGCTCTAGCGTGCCTTTAGCGATGCCTCTTGGGTGCCTCTCCAATTCCCCCCTATGATCCACTATGGAAGCTGTGGCATCTTCAGCAGCCACCATCTTCGATCTGCATCCCCCCCAACACCCTTTTGCGTGCACTTCCAGGCTCCCATAGGCTACTTAGCCCCCTTCAGAGTCTCTCTGGGCTCCTCTAAAAGGGTTTCTACCATTGGCACCGGCTCCCTCCTGGACGGGTAGAAATCACGCCCCGTGTCTCCCCGTCCATTCACAGCCTTAGCGATCAGGTCCTTCCAATTCTAATTGCTGGAGCTTGCAAAGCTTTCTCTCCACCACTCTCTTCGCCCACGCTTCAGCCAAACCTGCCGTACCACCAGCTCCTGCACCTCCACCGTGCAACTTTGCACTTGGACGCATCCAACACCTCTACCATACTCCATCTGATTATCACCCTCATCTAGCACCGCGACCACCGAGGGTTGCACTTTTGTGAGCAAACATAGGAGAGTCGTCGGAGGCAGCTGTGTCGAATTCTTCCTATCGTCGATATCTCATTGCTATTACTGTCCTTGGAGGTGAGTTTCAACTGATATTGGGGCCTTTGGTCTGCCAGGCCCTGGGGCGGCAAGACTCAACATATCTAGTTGCTAACCATGACATTTTTGGGAATCAGGGGCCTCGTCTCCTTCAAATTTGTATCGCCGAGCTCATCCCGATCCCTTCCTTCCACGCCATAAACCTCTCCAGGCTGAGCATGATTTAGCCACGACCAATTGGAAGAGACATTTTCGACCATATTGCACTCATACCATCAGCCCGACCGCTTTCACGTCTGAGCACCGGGCGACCTACGCGTTGCCACGATGGGCTGCACCGGATCCAAATTAGATCCGCGGGAAAAGGAGGCCGCGCAACAAAACGCGAAGATTGAACGTCAGTTACGTGCAGATAGAAGAACAGAGTCTCGGACTGTCAAGATCCTGCTGCTAGGTATGCGACCATGGTATCGGTTTGTCGTCTCTACTATGGTCAACTGACATGGGTGTAGGTGCGGGTGAATCTGGAAAATCGACAATCATCAAGCAGATGCGCATTATCCATTCTAGTGGATTCCAGGATGATGAGCGCGTACAGGTCAAGGCCGTCATTTTCTCCAATGTCGTTATCGCATTCCGCGTCTTGTACGAGATCATGCAAGATGAGGGGATTGAATTCACGGACGAGTCCAACGAAGCTTATGCCGAATACCTTGAAAATGTCAATGCCGACGTCGATGCGCATGAGGCGTTCCGCGACAAGAGAGTCAAAGAGGCCATGATTGCGCTGTGGAAGGACGCTGGTGTACAAAAGGCCGTTTCCAAAGGCCACGAGTTTGCGCTTCACGATAATCTGACCTTTTACTTTGACAACATCAATCGCATGTTCGAACCCGACTGGCTACCCAACGATCAAGATATGCTCCATGCCAGACTCAGAACGACTGGCATTACTGAAACCGTCTTCGAGCTCCAACAACTGACGTTCCGCATGATGGACGTGGGAGGACAAAGGTCAGAACGTAAGAAATGGATTCACTGCTTCGAAGGTGTTCAGTGCCTGCTTTTCATGGCCGCCTTGTCTGGATATGACCAGTGCCTGGTGGAGGACGTGAATGCCAACCAGATGCACGAGGCTCTGATGCTCTTCGAATCATTGGTCAATGGAGAATGGTTCAAGGACAAGCCCATTATCCTGTTCCTCAACAAAATCGATCTCTTCCGGGAGAAGCTACCCATATCACCACTTTCGGCACATTTCCCCGATTATACTGGCAAAGATGCCGACGAAGAAGCGGCCAAGCAGTTCTTTGCCAACAAGTTCCGATCCATCAACCGCAACTCCAACCGCGAAATCTATATTCATTTCACCAACGCAACTGACACCAATCTTCTCAAGAAGACCATGGAAGACGTGCAGGATATTTTGATTCAGAAAAACCTTCAACGACTTGTTCTGTAATGTGGCGCCAACAAAAAGTTTTCTGGCTGGGATTCCCCACCGCCTGTCTTTCGATCTCGGTGGCACAGTACAAGGCGGAATTCACGCAATGGTCTATTGGTCGGATCAAGTCGGGATATTTCAGTGTCGGCTCGACATTTGTTACATTTTCCTCGGCGGTGAGGTTTGCAAGACACAGGCATATCTATCCATCAAAAAGGAGGCAATACTATCTTCCGTTTCATTATTGCAGCGTTGGCGTATAGGAAATGCTTTTGAGGTCAGCAACGCCCTTTGTTTCGGCCTACCAAAACCCTTCGACAGGATCGGTCAGCGATTGCTAGGATAGTGGGAGCTGCACAGCAACTATAGACACGAGGACGGAGGTGGCTTGACCTCCAATTTGCTGGTCCGTGAAAATGGCATCGATCAAGCATGCCTTCTCGTGGCGCTGCAGGTCACCCTCGACAGGCAACTACAAGAGTGGGAAGATCTTGTTGGAAGTGAGGGTGGCCAGCACAGTACAAGTGACTCGACTGCGTCGACTGTCAGACTGTGTGGGAAAGGGACATAGAAACAAGAGATGTCTGGAAATGCATCAATGGATAGGAGTGTCTGAGATGGCACTTGGAGCTTCATTGGGATGCGCCCGTGCAGACAGGCGCCGCACCCACTTGTCATGGATTTTCCCCCCCTCTGCGGGATTTCTTGCTCTTCTTTTGTTCGGTCTCGGTGTTGATGTTGCTGATGGTTGTGGCAGTCATATTGCGAGCTGAAAAGGTCAATGATATTATATCTCACCGTGATTGCCTGCCATTTTATGCACAAGTCGAAGCCTCTCTCTCACACGTAGGCTTTTTCGTGGGTTCATACCTTCCAACCCTCGACCCTTTTTCAGTGTTGTCAACTCTTCATCTTTCCAATGTTGTCGCTTCTCACTTGCAGAACATAAAGCGGCACGGATTCAGGTCTTCAGGTCTTCAGGCCTGTCGATCTTGTCTGAGTCTTGGTTGTTTCGTTCCGTTCCGTTCCACCTTTGGCGTCCGCGCCGGCTGGGGTCATGCACTACCATACCGGTATCCGCAAGTCGATTGTCACTACTTTCCAGGTAGGTTCGTCGGGAGGTATATACGCCCAGAAAGCCGAGGTGATGAGCTGATTGAGTGGCGAGAGAGACGCCGAAGCTATGCAAGCACAGCCTTGGACGGGTGGGTAGATAGTAAAGCGTTGTTGTGTAGCTGGCAGAACGTTGTAGACGTCAGTCAAGGTTTGGACTTCACTTACCTGCTCGGTGTGAAAAATCCGTAGAGGACCCATCAATCAGTCAGTCAGTCAGTCAGCAACCGTGCGTCAGAAGGCGATCGTGGAGAATCGGATGCTTTTTGACTTGATTTGTGTCCTCGCTACAAAATGCTTGGACCTTTACCGAAGTAGGGTGATAGGGTACCGAGTAGGTACGAGCACCACGAAGTACGGAGTCCCTACTCCAGGTATTTAGTACAAGCATGCTTTTTCCACATCGACCCGCCCGTACGCACGCACGCACGTACGGACGGCTGGTGGGGTGAATGCATGGGTTTAGTGGTGAAGCGGATATACGTTTCCACTACCGAGTACTTCTACTTGAAGCAAAACCCTTAGGCACGCAAGGCCAAAGGCAAAGGCAGAGGGAGGGCAGATATATTACCCGAGTCCTCAATCCTCAGTCATCGGTCATCAGTCGTAGTCAATCCCTAATTCCAAAATCCCCGGATTCTCGGGTTGTTGATTCCCGGATCAGCCAACGAGATGAAGATGATTCAACGCTTGCATGTCTGTCTGCAAAGGGCAAAAGATAAAGGGACAAAAGGGGCAGTGATGTGCACTATGTACCTGCTAGGCTAGTATGGAGTATTCAGGAGCCTTGGGATACAACGTAATTACGACTGCGACTGCGACTGCGATTTGGTAGAGACGATATGATTGATTGACCAGTTAACTAAGTAGTGCGTACATTGACCAAGTCCAGCAAGCCGGGTGTCTGAACCCAGGATTCCTCAGACCCTGTCTGTCAACAACACCTCGTACTAGCAATGTCTCCCAGTATATCCCAAGCAAGACACAGCTGAATAACCAGGTTTGAGGTCCGGAGAAGACACCTTGCGGGGCCGGGGGTCATGATACGGAAACGAGTGATTGAATAGCGTTGGTAGCGTGGTGGCAAATACATAGAAGATGAATACTCGGGGAGACGCAGACAAAACTCCAGTGAACAAACAATTCACAACAGCGGTTTCGTAGTCAATACCCAGCGTACTGTGTCATCGTCCCATCCTCTTGAACACAGGGACTTCTGGTTTTCTCTCTTTCTTTCACTTGTGATCTCCCTTGATCTTGTGGTACAAGTCACTGGCGAGGGAGGTACTTGGCCTGCGCTGCTCCGACATTCTCCGCCCACCGGTCGCCTCGAGGCCAAATATACTGTCCTTTCGAGTCACGTCGCTGGCGACGGCCACGCTGCCCTTTCTGGCGTTAGCCGTGGCGGCGCCTCCCTCGGCCACCGCGACGCTGGATCGGCGATGTGCGCCATCGGCTGATGCTGTTGCTGCAACGTTCTGCACTGCCTGCGCAGCCGCCGCGGCGTGTTCGTCGAGAACTGCCTGGGAGGCTCGTCGGTCCGTCTCCATGGCGTTGGAGGCCGCACTGTGACGTCGGTAGAATCCGCTGTGCCGGCGCAGGAACTCGTCGTACGTGGGATTGGCCTTGTATCCCGACCCGCCTGTGAGGGCATGCGGCATGGTGAAGGCGCCAGACATTCTGTGTGAGGTAAGGAAACCTTAACCTGAATAGAGTCCTGAACTGTGATGTGGTGGTGTCTGCCCTTGCACGGTTACATACACCCGCTTGCTAGATTGCGGACCGGGGTATAGTGCTTACAGGGGCCGCGAGGTGGGTATAATATGCACTCAGTGCAGCGTCCACCGAGACAGGGTGATCCCACTATCGTTTCCGGGATCGTGAAAGTGGAACCTCCTGTCCCTTCCTCGATCTAGTCGTATGCTCTGGGCACACCTGAATAGGGAGCCTCGCTTCTCTGGTGGCGAAAAACTGATCGCTGGTGGTCGGGCAGGTCCTCTGTGGACCTGAGCGACACGAGTCAAATGGAGTTCTAGCAATGCAACCTACAGTCAAACTCCGGTGAGCGAGGCAATGCTTGAGGTATGCTTCTGTGGCTACGCTGCTGTACAATGACGTTGACTTGCGAGCATCGGTTGCACACCTGAAATGTCCCACCACGATGAGCTTGCAGGCGGAAGTGGGGTCTTGTTGCACCGAGAAAGACGAATCTTATCAGGAATATGATAGGCTGCGAGGTGTTAGATGGTTTCAAGAAGCTGTGAGTATGTAATATTTTCTTGAGGGAGCTGAGTCAGGAAGAGTAACTGACAGGCAAATTTGCCTCCAGCGCTTCGAACAGCTTGCGGAGGATCTGGACCCTGAGTTTGTCAATGTCTCGCTTGGATAAAACGGCAAAGGCCAGTCAGTACTGTTAAGTGTGTTGGGAACTCGGAAGGAGAAACGGATGCGCGATGGTAGCCTGGGGCGAAGAGAGGAAGTCGACGATTTCCCGATCGGGACTTGTAATCCTCAAATCAAGAGAGTGATGCGAGAAAGGGAAACAAAATTGATCAGAAAAGCGCAAAGACCAGAGAGTCGTTATATGATAGTTTGCTCAACGACAACGACTTGTCGCTTGTTAATGCCATGGCATATTCTTCAGGGACTTTGTGTCGTCAATTCTAAACTCTCGACCCTACCAGGTGTATGCTTTGGCTCGATATATGCCAAACCCCGCATTTTTTGAGCCGAATTGAGCGAATCAGCAGCATATCCTGGTCTCGGAGAAACAGTTGTTCCAAAATGGAGGAGAATGGGTGGTGCGCTGGATTTCTCGGGGAAAGGTACGCATTGTGTCTGCGGGTGTGTGATAGGATCGACCAACGGACTGGCTGGCTTGCTAGCTGATTGATCAAGTTCAAGTACTTGTCACAACATCATAGCCTGGTCCAGCCTGTCTGGGCTGAAGCTGACTCAGACTGCTGTGAGGAGATATGTATCTCTCCTTGTCTCCCTTTCGAGTTGTTCGGCCATAGGAGTCTCCATACTCCTCTCACCTCTTGTCAGTCAAGTACCTCTATCCAATACCTGTTCAGCAGCGAATGAGTTCTCGCCACATGGTATTGGCATGCGGGCGCAATGGCATATACCAAGTACTCGTGTTGAGAGGGACCCTGTATCAGAGAGTGAATGGGTAAAGACTTGAAACTGAATCGGCCCGATTTGGAAACCCTGGCAGCCCTTGGGTGGTCCTAGTCTATGAAGGTGATTCGTCATGTGACAGATTATGGAATATCATTGTTCCGCTACTCTTGGCATACAGGCTATCCTCTTCCATGCTCTTCCAAACTCCACACAAGTTGACGACACGATTGCGCCACCACCTCGAGACCGTTTGCTGTTGAACCTCGGATGTTACACGATCTCCCTGCCAATTGCTTCACAGCAACACATCCAATCCAGGCTTTATGAGTGGTTCGACTTTCGTGTTTTGTGCTGGTTTCATGCAAGGCTCATAACACTTCCAAGTCTCCCGATCCGCGCGGGCCTTGCTATTTCAAATCCTTGACCCCGCTGACGTCTAGTGCGCATATTTCTGCATAAAGCCAGGACGAATTGCGATTTCTAGTTAGAGTCTCCGTCACGAAATTGTCGGTTTTATGCCAGGTCCGCGGCACCTGTTCTCAACCTCGTTTCAATTCCAAATACTTGTACACGCCGGCTCCAAACCTGTTCATTTCCCTCTTACTGCCCGTACAAGAAGCGGCCTTCCGAACAAACATCCCTTAGATTTAACATCCCTCGCGCAGTTTACGTCTGTTTCGACTCGTCACATCAGCATCCTCCGTCGCAGGAACAGCGCAGGCATCGTCGACAAGTGGCACCAATTCCGATCTTTTGCGAACACCCCTCCTCATTCATCACCCCCTCCGTGCGGTTCCGCTGCGCCCGCCATGGCTTCCGCAACGACCTTCTTCGACTTCACTCCCAAGGACAAAACCAACCAAGACTACCCGCTCGCGCAACACAAGGGTAAAGTGGTGTTGGCGGTCAATACGGCCTCCAAGTGTGGCTTCACACCGCAGTTCAAGGGCCTCGAGGAGCTGTGGAAGAAGATCTCAGAGAAATATCCCGACCAGTTCGTTATCATTGGGTTTCCATGCAACCAATTTGGCGGGCAGGACCCGGGGTCCAACGACCAGATCCAGGAGTTCTGCCAGCTCAACTACGGCGTCACTTTCCCCGTGCTGGGTAAGACTGACGTCAACGGTGACAAGGCCGAGCCTGTCTGGGAGTGGATGAAGTCCGAGAAACCCGGTCTCCTCGGCCTCAAGCGTGTCAAGTGGAACTTTGAAAAGTTCCTCATCGGCCGCGACGGGAAAGTCGTCCATCGGTGGGGTTCCATCACCAAACCCGAGACTATTGAGAAGGAGATCATTGCGGAGATTGAGAAGGGGAATAAGTCCTGAGTGAAGGAAAATCTTGGTACAGGAGGCTAGAATGACCGTGTATGAAAACCCGAGTGAAAGTGGAGGAAGTGATCGGTGATAGTGCTGCGATAATGCTGCAGTGTTGGCTGTCGAGGTGGAATTGGTGGTGTGAAGGATGCTGAAAGAGAGCGGTTGCTCAAGAAACTGATGATACCCAGGCGTCGAGCTTACCAACAAGCGCTAAATGATTATGAACATGCAAATGCCATTCATTCATTGTTCATTTTTCGTTGCGATTTTCGGACTTCATCTGAGAGAAAAACGCTACCCAAGGCGCCGCGCCATGTTCCTTTTCCAACGCCAAACGTGCAAGGTACCCATCCCATTTTACTGCCCAGGTGTTATCGTCCTACGGGCGACACGTCTCGACTCCGTCCTCTCTCGACGTCAGCCTCGAAGGGATTCTCCGTTTGCGGTCTCAGTCCCTGTCCCGTCGTCGCTGTTGTTCCAGAGTCCTGCGCCTCAAAATGTTTATAAGCTTGATCCCTCGGGTAGGTGTTCTCGACCAGCTCCAGGTCGCCGTTGTCGTCGTCGATCTCGCGGTTCTTTTCGGCCTCTTGGGCGTGTTGGAGGCGGCGTTTGCGACGGACGACGATGAAGAGGATGACACCGAGGATGGCGAAGAGGCTGTTATTGGGAAGTTTGTGGTTAGCGAAAACATGCTATGCCAGGGAGGAAAAACACAAGGGATTGGATACGCATTGAGTTGGGTTCTTCCCCCCCTTCCCCCCCCTTGGGCTCGAATCACTGACACAAGGGTGATGGTGACACCGAGTAAGACAAGACACATACCATAGACCGATGATCAAGGGCACCCCCGTTGTCAGAAACGGGCTCACGTATTTCTCGCACACATCGACGTCCGGGTTCGGGTTGACGCATTTGTCTCTCTTGAATAATGACCGCCACATCGTTTCTTCTCCTTTGACCCCGGTTTCCCCCCTTTTCTATTCCTTATCCTTGTTTTTCTCCTCGACTTGGGTGTTTGTTTCTTCTTCGATGCGCTGTTCTTTTTCTATTTCACGGTTGGTTTTCCAAGATTTCGTTGCGTGGAAGAGGTTGGTCGGGGTGGCTGGCTGGCTGGCTGGTTGATTGACTGATTGATTTGTTTGTTTACTTTTGTTACTCTGCTGCACCCGTTGCGGGAATACTTCGGCCGCGATGGTTGAGACTTTTGGGTTCTGTTGTGGGAGGGAGAGAGTAAACTTGGAGATGGGAAAGTCGTACAGTGTTCCGTAGCTAGAATTAGAAGAAGTGATGCATTGAGCGAAAGAACTGGCATACATACGAGTAACCTCGTTAGAGTAATACCAGCCAGCGCAGTCCAGCCGCTCTCCAGACGAACAACCAACCAACCAACCAAACCCCCTGCCTCAACCCTGCGCCCTCACCGGCCTCCAAACTCTGGAACGCGGGGACGAAACTCAATCTTGAAACAACCAAATCAAATCAGGGGGAAGCGGTTCCTCCCTTTACTATTCCGTAGTATGGAGACTTGTTTGTATGTATGGAGGTACCCCGTCCTCATGCGCCCGTTTGTTCCCTTTTTCTCCGTGTTCATGCGCGCCACTGATATGTTCCGATGCACATAGCTACACATACCTCGTACTGTTGGTACATAAGTGAACAATAATGTCGGGTACAAGTCCAAGGAACCGGCCCCCGAACCAAGAGAAAGGGGGACAAAATCCTTCTCATCGCCCCCGAGCGTGTGTCAGGGTCAGGTCCCAAGGGGTCTCCCAAGACCGCAGCCTCTCCTGAGTAATTTCCCGCAAGCCGTGTTTTGAGATGCCGCCCAGACCCTATCACCCAAGCTATCCTGGTGTGCGCGGCGTCTCAGATTGATTTCGTAACGAGGGCAAGAAGGTTATTGATTAATTATTATTGCCCTGTGTTTGCCTACCTTGGTACTACCGTCTCTCGAGGATCTGAGCACCGTCTGATCCTGTTGGATGAAGCACTCACTGCTAGCACTCACCAGCTGACCAACTTTTATATTAAGAAAGCACTTGTCCATTATAGATCCTTATGTGTTCACAGGATGGACCAACGTTATGCTTAGCTGCTCCAAAATCCCTCACGCCATGATGCGATGCCTATGCTTCTATTAGCCGAGTGTCGTCGAACTTGTCTTCGCGACGGTTCATGCCTTGCTCTAGTTACTCCAATGAGACATCTGAAGAACTCTTCAGCCAGAGCGCTCGTCGTTCGTAAAGACTACCAGAATATCCCGTTACACCCGTAATAGCCTCATCCAGAAAGCTTTTTGCACAAAGGAGCTTTCGCTTGCCGATACCCTCGACCCCATCAATGCATTATCGCTCCAACCTAACCAAGCCAGATGATGGGTGGCGTGGTCTAGATAGTATTTTGTCTCGTCGACCGATGGGGAATGTCCTCCAGATAGTCATCTGTAAAGTCTTCATCTCGTCGGCCTCTTGTGCCGAGCCTTGCGGCCTCGAGCATCTCCGCTGCGTCGTCCATTTCGATAGATTCTCGGATCGACTCGCTCAGTGTAGAGTCGTCCATGCTCTCCCTCGACATGAAACTGTCGCCCATCTCGTTGTCGGACGCCACCTCTGCCTCATCTTCCTCGTCATCCAAGTCATCATCTTCTTCGTCCTCCTCTTCTGAATCTGTCGGTTGAAAGTCATCCAGATCCTGCGGCGTATCTCGCCAGTAGGTAAAATCGGTATAGTCCTCTCCTCCTTCTCTAACCAGAGTCGACACGGGCGGGAAGAAGTGGTCAACCAGCTCTCGCATCGACACATAGCTGCTCCGATATTTGTTCAGTGTCAACAAATCGAGTGACACTTCTGCATTGGTGTTGATCGTGAAGATTCGAGTCGAAGGGATGTTAACACTGCGATAACTCAGTGCATCCGTGAAACGATTGCCAAACCCAGCATAGAACGGGTTGGTCTTGCCGGGGAACAAGTTGAGGATATCTCGGAGACAGGCCATTTTGAAAACTTCGGGCTTCCGCAAGTAGATTTCTCGCCGTAATGCCGCAATCGTACGATCAGGGCTCATGATAACCGGGCCGCGAGGAAGTTTCCAGCCATCTTGTACGATACCGTTGAGATAGGTTCGGGTTGTGTCGGCTTGTCCAACAGACCGACTCGTCAAATAGAACATGTTGTAGCCATTGGCGACAATATCCGAGTACAACTTCGCCACACCAACGTGCGTCCAGTCACGTCCGACCATATTTAGCAGATGACCCAATGCGTCTGATTTGGTGATTGTGCCATCAATATCTGATATAACAATTGGGACATCACAAGTCCAGTAAAACATGTAAGCTATACATGTAGCGCGATTAACGGTGAATGACATTTGATTTTCGCCCCGTTTCAGATTCAATGATTTCAATTGATCGCTTGTCAGCCGGAGCGTTTTCGCAAAGTTTCGAGCCTGTTCCCCTGACGTGCGAGACGACTGGATTTCTTCGGACTGTGCCCTCTGGTGACCAGAGATTTTCGCTGTAAGCTGTGGCGACGCGCTGCGGTCGCTGTCGCTGTGATAGCCGGGATCAGAGATGTTGTCCGATGAAAGCGAGGTAGCTGACTCGAGACTCTGAGACGCCCATTTTCGAGCGGCCGCATCTCGAGCTTCTTCGCTGCTATATATCCACAAATTCCCGTGCTCGTCGGTTCCAATCAAAGACCCAATGTCGTAGTTGCCCTCCAATTCTTCCGAGAGGATTTTCCGGGCCACGGCTTCTGCTCGCAAAGCTTCAGGTTCACTTGTCTTGTAGCCTGTCATGTCAAGCATGAGATCTCCAGACTCGGTGACTTGGGATCGGATATTGGAAGAAGAGAGTTTTTTGGAGAGGGTCAATGCTCGGTCATAGGCTTGTTTCGGTCTCAGAGCGGGAGGACTTGCGGAGGCTTTGGGAGTAGTGGTCCCATCCAGACCAAACTTGGGAGAAGGAGGGATGCCGTTGTTGTGAAAAGCCTCACTAACTGAATCCAATTCCTGTCGAGTAGCGATGGGAAGGACTTCTTCCGAGGCTGCTCGCCCAAGGGAAGCAGGAGCGGTAATAGTCGTATCGGATAGAGGCGTTCCAGTTGGATCTGTGTGTACGGTGCCAAGATCGATTTCTTCGCTCATGTTCGTCCCCTCTCGTCTTAGTATAGGAACAGGAGCTGAACTTGAGATTGGAGGGGTGTTGCGACCCTTTGCAACCTCTGTGATGTCCAAGTAGGAGGGTTCGGAAAGACCAGGAGAGGGAGGTCTGTCTGAAGCATTGATAGGTGGACTGCTGGCGGGAGATATTAAAGGAGACGTCTGTAACCCTTCGGGAATTTCACTCGAGGTCTCAAAGACAAAGAAGGCTTCACCTCCATCCCCAAGCTTCATGGCGTACGGCTGGGCGACTCCATTCACTTTGAATTCGACCTTCTTGTCCGAAGGCCGCAGTAAAGAGAACTTGCCAAAGCGGACATGGAAAGGGGAACAGGCCAGAGAACCATCAGGCTGTTCAATCACAATAACATCGATGGCTCCGGACAAAGTTGCCGGATTGATGGAGTTCCATGTCTTGGAGACACCGCTTCCCAGACTCCGAACATACTGCATCGTGAGAGATGTAGACAACTTTGAGAGGTTGGCCTAGGTGTTAGGTGTGAGTGATATGACGAAGATATGAAGTCTCCGGAATCAGCGCATGACGCTTGGGAGCCTGATGGGGGGAAGCTCGGAACGGGAAATGGGGAATGCTCGACAACGCCAAAAAAAAAGACAATGTTCTTTTCACAATTTGCAGTCCAGAAGCATCAGAGTGTGTTATACAGAGGATTTCTAAGAAGACATCAAGGCAAAAGGAGAGAAACAAAGGGTGGAAAGAACGAGAAGAAGTCGGATGGGGGTGACATATGAAGGATGGGGAAGAGGATGAGGAAATCGGGTCATTCAGCATGATGCATGACAGCATTTTTGTCGGGAACGGCACTAGTCCACTTTAGGAAATTTGC